TTTCAGATGTTTATCCAGAACCCAGTGTTCCGGAAAGTTTCGATTCCATGAAGATTTGATTTTTTTTTGTTTTGTAATTTTTGTTTGGAGGTTTAAAAGGTCATCAAAAGAGGAAGTCCCTCAATGGATTGTCAGTTTGTTTGAATGGATTGATGGTTTGAATGCATTGAGATAGATCGATAACAGTGATTGCAGCAATGGGCTCAAGGACGTCAGGGATGATGAGGATGACACAGGCTAGGGCAGGGTTCAGATCTGTTATTCATAGAGTCGCTTTGAATGATACCAAGCTACCAAGAAATGCCTCTCATCTTAACATCCTTCAAGTATTTGGTAGTAACATTGATACTATACACTAGAGGGCGCTATTCACTCTTGGTTGCAAATTGTACCAGCAAAAATCACTGGCTTGCAGTCCCAAGGAGGTGTGTGGCTAACTCGAAGGTGGTATTTCTCTGGTTATTTGATCCACCAGCCGCTGTCAGCAAGAAATATGGGTGATCTCCTCCCATGTCATTTACAGCCTTTGAAAACCCATTGGAGGGTCAGCTCTGGGTCGATTCCAACTCAACAGTAATGAATTTGAGTTAATTTGTTTATTGTCCTCATTTTACAGAACATGAAACTGAAGAAAAGTAACCGGCTCCAGGTCCCACATCTAGTAGGTGGTGTGGAGTGTGGATCCAAAGTCAGACTATCTCTTTATACTAAGGAGGAATGTTGTTGTTGCTGTGTACTCTCAAATAGGGACCAACCCATGGAGCTCACCCTCCAGTAGATTTTCAGAGACAGTAAATTGTGCAGGAGAAGATTGCTCATCCTTCTGCAGAGCAACGGGTGGATTCAAACCCCATGCCTTCAAGATTGGGCGCAGCTTCTTACCTCTAGGCCCAAGGAGGAGTTTTTTAAAAAATGTAATCCTCGGGGAGCTCTGGTGGCCTAGTGGCAAGAAGCTGCAACTACAATCCCAGAGGTACACGGTTTGAATCCACCAGATGCTCTGCCGGGGAAGGAGGGGCAATCTCCTCCTGTACCAGTCAGATCTGATTTTTTTTTTTAAATTTAGGTTGTTTATTTTTCATTACAATGAACATCTACAGAGATTTTGGAATTCCATTAATTCATTTTTTTGCACCCTTCTCCCCGCATAAACCGCTCCCGCCTGCCTCCCCCCCCCCCCCGCCCCGTTTGCTCCTGTCCTTGAAAAGCAAAAGAAAAACTCCCTCATTGGTACACAATCCCCCCCGCACCTCCCCAAACCCCACTCCCTACCCCCAAATATAATCGACTCTGCAACCCTCATTGCATACTCCTACGATAATAATAATGTCCTAAAACATAGTACTTTTAGACTATTCTCTCCCCCATAGACTTCAATGCCGTAAACATATTTCATCCAGTTTTTCTCAGTCTTACCCTCACCCCAATGCCAGCCTCATTCTACAACAGTGGCACCATATAGCATTTGTCCCTTTGTGACTGAGATGACATCCAAGTAGATATATGTACACCCATGTTTATCGCGGCCTTGTTCACAATAGCAAGGAGTTGGAAACAACCTAAATGCCCATCAACAAACGAATGGGTAGAGAAGCTGTGGCACATTCGCACAATGGAACACCATGCCGCACCGAAAAACAAGGAACCCATGCAACACCATTCAAAATGGGTGACCCTGGAGGACATTAAGCTTGTCCCCTTTAAAAAATGTATTGTATGTCCAATCTAAGACCTGGTCACTGCTGAAGGTTGTCATCTGGCCTCCATATAGGGTCTGGTTACCTTCAAAAGCCATCATTTAGTTATCACTAGAGTCTTCCATCTGGTTCTTGTAATAATAGGTCTGGTCATTACTGAAGATCGTCATTTGTCCTCCATTTGGGTTTTGATCTGCATTGAAGGTCATCATCTGATTACTCTGATGGAGGATAGCCATTGTGTTTGCAGTAATATTTGTCTTTGGACTGGCAGTAAATGATGCATTTGGGATGCCAGTGTTATTTGTCATTTGGAAGTCTGTTAGTTTTATCTGATCAGAGGAGGTCAGCATGGGGAAAGTTTCCTTTAGATCTTCGAAGGCTTGAATAGAGTCTCCTGTGGAGTTCTGGGTGAGGAGTGTCCCAGGGTTGTTAGAATTGGCAGAAGTTAACACTGGAACTTGAAGAGAACAAAACCTGCTTCTGGTTTGACGCATGTGGGCAACATTGATCAGATTGGAGCATATAAGCCTGTTGTTCTGGTGCTTCTAAGGTTTTTGCCTGTTCTGTACATGACTCAGAAAAACCTTGGAGAAACTTAATATCTTCAAGAATACGGAGGAAAGATGGCATGATTATCTCTTTGTTGTTGCCTAGTGTGTAGACTAATCTTTAGCTGAGGGTTCCTAAACCAAAGACGGTTGCTGCCTCTCTAGCTGTTCGAATCCATCAGCAGGCCGCAAATCAAAGATAGACAATTCCCCGTGCGACTGATTTAGAGCCTTGGAAACCCTCCAGTGTCAGCTATGAGACAGCTCTCTGTTTGTGCTTTTGGAGATGCAAAATCCAGAGTATTTGCTCCTTGAAGGGTTGAACTGGAAACAGCCCCAGAAGGCAGGACCAGCGATAAGATGCCAAGCCAAGGCTCTCAGTCAGATCTGATTTGACGGCACATGCACACAAAAATAATAAAAAAAAATGTAATCCTCAGATGACTTGCATTAGAATCACCTGGGTTGGCGAGGGGCTTGGTAAAAATGTAGGTTCTTGGGTTCCACTCCAACCATCCTGAGATCCCAGGCCGGGGCATATGCATGGTAACCAGTTCCCTCAGATTTTGTGTACACAAAGTTTGCCTCACTCTGGATAAAACACCTCTGTTGAGGCTGACAGGCTGCATGGGGCCAGCTCTGTTCTCGTTCCCCAAAGGTCTCAGGAATCCCCTGCCTCCATAGGGATCTGTGACCCAGGGTGATGAGCTGATGTGTGCACAGCCATTGCACAGCCCTGTGCCCTCCTTGCCTAGAATAAGGGCCAGCTGATGCCTGTCCATCCTGTCATCAGACCTTTGCAGGGACAGTGAGATGTTCTGTTGCCAAGGAAGCTGCAGAATGGGAGAGGCCGGTCAGAACTGAGGATGGCACATTTGGTGTCCAGTCCGCCTTCCCCTGCTTCTCCACCTGGCACGGTGTCCCAAGCCCAGACGCTGGGGGGTTTTTGTGCATGGAGCAAGAGGCTAGTCCTCTCTTCTCAGAATATGCCCATTTGTAAATGGCTCGCTTGTCCATTTGGACCGTGGAAATGGAAGGTTTCCTGGTAAAGTGAACCGAGTCCCAGCAGAGAAGGTGATGGATGTCTCAGCAAACTGGACACCCTCCACTCTGCCTCCACAAAACCTCTTATGCATCAAGAACCCCAACAAGACTCCTGAGGTTAATTGGATGCCTAGAAAAGATGGTTTCCTCCTGCTTAAATAGTGCCTTGCCTTTGACTTATATCTGGAAATGCTATGCAACTTTAATTGTGATGTGAGTGAAAGTTTACAGAACAATGGGCTTCTTATTCAACTCTCATTGAATTCAATTTCTCATTCAACTCTCCTTGCATATTTTGTTTTGTGACAACGATTGCAGTGCCCGTCATCTAACAGCATCCTCCCACTTCCTCCCTATGCTCACTGTTTCAATTTCCCCCCCAGTGTTACCACTCTGCCTTTGGAGTCTTATCTCTGCACAAATGCTGCCCTTTGGATCTTACATGGCTGTGTCACACAACTTTAAAAATCAAGACAGCAGTCTCTTTTTCTTCTATCCAAAGTTACACTGCCTGTGAAACATTAAGAAAATAAAGGAGGAGGAGAGTCATGCATATGGAAGACTGTGCTTTATTTGTTAAGGTTACGTAAGGTGCTGATTTACACACAGAATATCTCTGGAAGATCATAGAAGCTGGCAAGAGGGCTTGCATCTGAACTGGGAGTTAGGTGGTGGGGCTGGAGGATGGCATTTCCTTTACCTGTTTATTCTTTGATTTAAAAAAAGTAAAATGCAAACCAATTACTGTGTAGACTATTCACTCAGGAACCTCACATTGGACAGCAGGCCTGCCGTGCGACATAGAGTTATCAAGGCTCTGACCTTTGGAAGCAGATCATCAGGGCCTTTCTTCCAAGGTGACTCTCGGTGAGTTTGAACTGTCAACTGCTTGCATAGGTTGCCATGTGTCACTCAAACAAAGAAACAACGATAGGGGAAAGAAAGACAAACAAAATGGCAGTCTTGAATACAGGTAAAATAGTGCATTGTCAGTGTACCACAGCTTCCTGGGTTGCAGGAGTATAACAAAATTACCACATCCCTACGAGCCAGCTGGGCTTTTCTCGAAGTCTCCAAGTCTCAGGGGACTCCAAGGAGCCCCAGTACTGGCCTTGGTATGGTGAATGCTACAACAGAGGGATGGTATGTGTGAGGGGCTGATGGTACTTCACTCAGGCCTCTAGGCGTGGGTGTGAGGGCCAGAGGCAAAGCCCAGGGAGAGGCCTGGTATAGGGCCTTCCTGCTAGAGCGCTCAGTACAAGGTGAGGCAGGCATGTAGGAAGGCTGAGCGCTAAAACAGCTAACAACCCCCAAATTATTGGGGTACCTGTCAGGTCTTGGCATTTCTTGCCAATTCCGAAGGAATAGGATCCCCTCCTGAGGACAAATAGTCTTAAGTGCTTCTTCCTCAGGCGGCAGGGGTGAGTGGCGTGACAGCGGCAGTGATGACCAATGAGACTCCAGCTCAGGGCGTGACTGTGTCTGTAGATGGTGGAAGTCTCCACTTGGTTTTCTTTTGAACATTTCAGGGAAGTGTGAAGAAAGGTTTTCCTCTGAGCTTGGCTCAAGTGGCATTAAAGTCCAGTTGGCAAATGAAAGCATTTGGACCAATCTTGCTTCTGTTTCCTGAGCACAGGCAGCAGTTCATATTTGCTGAAGCTGTTCATTTTAAGGCATAAAATGGTTAATAAAAGTGTGGTTTTTGTGTCTAGGAGCTGTTGGCCTTTTTTTTCTTCTTTGGAGTGATTGATTTTTTGTAGTTGCTGTTGGCCCTTGAAGACTGTAGTTTAAATTCAACCGGGAAGTGGTCACTGACATCCAGGGCCTGAAAGGAGAAATAGCTTTAGCAATTAAGAGATGCCTGATGAGGGAGGTGTGGGGTGGTGCTTATGGACCAAATGCTTTTGTTTTCTATAATGAGCAAATTCAGACTCAAGGAGTATAGATGCCACCAACATATTTCAAAGTCACCAAGCAGTACTGGTGAATGTTGTCCCTGAACTGGCTCGATCAGAAGTCTCATCAAGTGATAGGCATTGAAACTTGAGGTCCAATGGCCCAATGTTATGTCATCAGTGATAATCTTATAAGATGATAACAATCCATCTTCCCAAGACAGTAGCAAATAGAGATGGCAGCCTTACCTCCTCTTCTGTCAACTTATAAGCTTCCCTAAAGTTGAAGACTCCGTTTGAGTTGGGAACAACAGAGTTGACAATCTCTTGTCCTCTAAGCACGATCCTGGAGCAAAGGAAGGAATGAACAGTCATGTTAGTCCACCAGCCAATTTCCAACAAGGTCAGTATTTGGAAGGTAGAATTGGCTGAAAACATGACTCTGGTCCTTCCAACGGTCCTAGGTGGTGCATATGTTAGCATCTAACCTATGGAGCAGAATCCAAGAATGCTAACTAGGTCTTCAGCAAATGGTGCTGGCAAAACTAGATTGCTACCTGCAGAAAGCTGTAACAGGATCCACATCTCACACCGTACACAAAAATCTCCTCAAGGTAGATAAGAAACTTGGGAGTAAAGCCCCAAATGATAAAATTTATAAGAGACAAGTTTGGATCAAGCTTAGAAGCCTTAATCTACGGTATAAAGAGACTACCAAATACAGCCAGAAATGTACAATCTAAAGAGGATAAAATTGATGAATGGGACCAAAGATTAAATCCCTGTGTTCATAACTTTTTCAACAGGGTGAAAAAAACCCTACTGACTGGAAACAAACATTCGGCAATACCATCTCAGACAAGAGTCTCATAACGAATGTTTATAGAATACTCCTCAGCCTCCACAAGAAAAAGTCTGGTAACCCAATTACAAAATGAGCAAAAGACATGGAAAGAATCTTTACAGAAGAAGATATTCAAATGACCAACATACATATGAAGAAATGCTCCAAATCACTGGCAATAAGAGAGATGCAAATCAAAACTACAATGAGGCACCATCTCACTCCAGTAGCAGTGGCAAAGCTTAACAAGACAAGAAGTAATAAATGTTGGAGAGGATGTGGTAAGATAGAAACTCTTTTACCTTGTTGGTGAGATTGTACAGCTGTACAACCACTCTGGAAGGCAGTTTGGTGCTCAAAAAGCTGAACATAGAAATTCCATATGACCTAGCTATTCCATTGCTTGGAATATACCTCAAGAAAATGAGAACTGTGGCTCAAACGAAAACTTGCACACCAATGTTCACAGCAGCAATATTCACCATTGCAAGAACATGGAAACAGCTCAGATGTCTAACCACAAATGAATGGTTTGAGAAGTTGTGGTACATTTGTACAATGGAATACTATGCAGCACACAGGAGCAATAATTTAGTAAACTACTATCTAACTTGGGAAGGTGGGAGAGCATTATGCTGAGTAAATTAACTCAGTATCACAAGGGCAAATACTGTATAAAACCATTATTATTGAATGAGTTTGAGGATCCAAAGTGGGGAGGGAAGAGTGGACATAGAGGGACGAGGCTGGGTGGGGGTAGAGTATTAATCATAGTATTGCGCAATTCGATGGGTGTGTGGGGTGAAGGAAATAGGAAGGATCTTTTGTGAAAAACATTGTATTCAAACTTTGTAAATGAATCAGAATAATTTAAAAAAATGCTAATGAGGATTGGTTAGCTAACTAGGATCCGTTAGGACCATGAGCTCAGTGTTTCCCAGTGTAGACAGGTGTGCCTGGTGGCATAAAAGAAGATAGATTTTGTATGAAACATGGACATCACATGTTATGAATTGAATTGTGCCTCCCTAAAAAAGATAGGCTCAATTCCCAAGTCACCTACAATGAAGATGACCTTGTTTGGAGATGGGGTTTTTGAAGATGCTATCCGTTTCATGAAGGTGCAGTCACACTGGAGTAGAGTGGATCTTAATCCACTTGTAAGAATAGAGCAGACACAGAACCAGAAAGAGGAAGGACAGTCATATGAAGATACACTTGAAGCTACCAGAGCTGAGACAGATGAGAAAAGATCTTCTGTTGAGATTTCAGAGGGATCATGGCCGAGTCAACACGTTGATCTGGACATAAAGCCTCCAGAACTTTGAGTCAATACATTTCCATTCTCATAGCCACTCATTTCATGGTACACCATTATGGCAGCCACAGGAGATTAAGATGCAACCTCACGTAAGGTCAGAGTTTCAAATGGCTGGTCAGAGGCACCAGGAGGGAGAAAGAGGAGGTGTTCTGCTTGCATAAAGACCGCACACAGCCTTGGAAATCCTACAGGGAAGTTCTACTCTATCCTGTAGGGTCCCTGTGAGTCAGCATTGATAATCCCTCTTTGCTATTTATATTACTGGGCTAACTTTTAAAAAAAATTTATTTTATTAATTTTAATGAATATTTACAGAAATTTTGGGTTTCCAGTCATTCAAACTTTTAACACATCTAGAAAGCAGGTTTCTCACATCAGGCAAGAGGCTTATTAAAGTTGTTGTTTGAGACCCACAAAGCAAAAAAATACCATCATTGAACTCCCCTCTCCCCATTTTCTGACTTTTAGGAATCACTTCAGCGGCATCCAGCTCACAGTAAATGGAAGCATGAGTACATGGAAACTCTCTGTGCTTTCTGTAAAACTAAAAGTGCTCTATCAAAAAGGTGTATTTTTTTTAAGCCACTGCTTCATTGGCCAAAGAAGGAGAATCAGCCAGAGGAAGGACTTGACCTGGCCAAAGTCATACACAGATGTGCATGTAGACAGTGGCTATCTCAACATGGGGCTGTGGTGAGGAGGAAGAAGTGTCTGAGTCTCTCGTGACTTCCCACCTTGGTTCTGCAGCCCCAGGGCTGGGGCTATTTCCACTTTCAAGAGCGGGAGCAATGACTTCTGCAAAGGAAATGGCCCCTGAAAGCTTCAAGAGGAACAAAGGAGGCCGTAGGGTGGAAATGAAAGCCAGACCTCAATACATGGGAAATGGGAACTGTCGTCTTACAGATGGCCATCTCATGCTGTCGCTGCAGCAGGTGATTTCTGGGAACCTCTACCACCATGGGAATGGCCCTCCTCAGAGCTTCCCTGACTATGGTCTCTGCTGCCAGTGAGCAGATAACTAGTGTTCGCATGATTCTGGTCAAAGGGAGGAACTGCTTAAAATCTCCCAAAGCCTTTACAAGTGCAAACCCCCAAACCAATCTCAGGGCCATCTAGTTTATTCCAACTGACAGTAAACCCACAGGACAGAACAGAACTGCCCTGTGGGTTTTCCAAGGCTGTACTCTTTATATACAAGCAGATTCTCTTGAAGAGTGGCTAGATGGATTTAAAATGACAATCTTTTTGTTGGCACCCAAGCTCTTAATTACTGCCAGTAGGGCTTTTACAAGGATAACTCAGAAACCTTAAAATCATTGTCATCGAGTCATAATTGACTCATAGTGGACCCTTCATTGGATTTTCGAGGCTGTAAATCATGTATTATCCCTCTTTCTCCTCAGATCAATTGATGTCAGGCATGGCCCTTGGATTGGCAGGGCACTTCCCAATGGACAAGGCACCAGAACATCCTGGTGTCCACATTAGAAGAGAAAATAAAAAAAAAAGAGAAGAGAAAATAAAGACAAACACACAAAGAAAACACATGACAAAAAGATGGAGATTGGAGCCATGTGTCTATATATCAAAAATTGCTTAGGGGAGCTCTGGTGGCCTAGTGGCAAGAAGCTGCAACTACAATCCCAGAGGTGCATGGTTCGAATCCACCAGATGCTCTGCCGGGGAAGGAGGGGCAATCTCCTCCTGTACCAGTCAGATCTGATTTGACGGTACACGCACATAAAAATAATAAAATAAAATAAAAAAATATTTTTAAAAAATTGCTGGCAGCTACTAGAAGTTAAAAGAGGCAAGCAAGCAAACATTCCCACTGTTATAGAATGAATTATATTCCCCCCACAAATACGTATCAACTTGGATAGGCCATGATTCTCAGTGTTAAGTCATCATGTTCCACGTTGTGATCTGAAGTAATTCTCTTATATGGTAGGTCCCAATATCTGTGATGTCAATCAGGCAGAATTAGAGACAGTTATGTTATTAAGGCAAGTTACAGGATTAGTTTGTATCTTCAGCCAATATCTTTTGAGATATAAAAGATATTAAAGGAATAGGCTCCTTGGAGTCAAGGATTCTGAGGCTCCGTCTAACATACTTTGGACATTTGTAAGGAGGGAGGGACCGGTCCTTGGAGAGGGACATCATGCTTGGGAGGGTGGAGGGACAGCACAGGAGTGGAAGGCCCTCTATGAGGTGGATTGATTCAGTGACTAGGGCAATTGGGATGGGTGTATTGGAGATGGTGCGATTAGCACAGGACAGAGCAGAGTTTAGGGCTGTTGTACATAGGGTTGCTTTGAGTCCCAAGCAACTCGACGGCACATAACAACAACAACAACAGAGATAGAAGTAGAGCTTATGCATTGGACTGAGGTCTTTGTGCTAAGAAACTCCTAGACCCAAGAGAAGATTTATGACAAAGCTTTTTCTTGAAAATCTTTACCTGGGGATGATACCCTGAATTTTAGCCTCCTAACGTATAAGAGAATAAACTTCCTTTTATTAAAGTAATTCGCTTGTGACATTTGTTACAGCAGCACCCGTCCTTACTTATACACCCACCAAGAACCTTCAAAGAGAAAATGAACACCTGTGAACACCTTGATTTTGGATATTTGGCCTCTTGATAAAGGGAGCTCTGGTGGCCTAGTGCTAAGAAGTTGTGTTACAATCCCAAAGCCATGAGGTTCAAATCTACCAGCTGCCAGCTGCTCAGTGGAGGAAGGATGGGCAATCTCCTCCCCTCTGAAAACTCACTGGAGGGTCAGCTATGCATCGGTTCTGACTCATAGGTGCATAACAGGAATAACAACCTCTTGATAAAGCAAATTTCTATTCTTTCGAGGCTGTGGTAATGATAGATCTAAGAAACTAATAGAGTCACACAGTTTAAACACTTGAAATCTAATTGCTTCTGCTTTCAAAGCCAATTGCCCTGGTGATGCATCGTCTGCCCAGAGGAGGCGCTCTTCCTCATGCATGCCGAGGCACCACATGGAGGGGCTCCCTGATGCCTTATACCTGTCATATGCACAGTTGGTGCTCTCCTTGACTGTGGTGTCCTCCTGGTCCCCGATCAGCCAGACGAAGCCGGGATCAGTTCTCAGGCGAATGTCCTTCCAGGCCTTCTTGCGGACATAGTTGCAGTCGGCGTTGAAGTCACCCATGAAAATGAAATTCTGAAAGGCACAATATGGGATTGTCACCTGGTGGGTGTAGGCTGCTGCAGGATGCTTTAGCTCAGAACTGCTAGCAGTGTGTGCACCTCCTACACCTGGCAAACAAAGAGGTCTGTCTTCCCTTCTTTTTTGCTGTTTAAAAGAAGCAGCCATGGTTTAGAATTGAGTCACAGTTGTGACGAGCATTTGACAAGCTGAGTGTGTACAAGGGAGGGTGGTTTTGGTGGGAAGGAGGATATTTGCTGTTGTTTTTCCCCTCTGATTCTTAGTCACAGGCCTCTATAATTCAGCATGCAATGAGGTGGGAACAGAAGAATCCGCTAGTGTGTGCCTTCCTGGCTTTTGTCTCTGGTTACAATGATTGTAGGAAACAAACCTAAGAATGAATCAACACCTTTTACTTCCAAGTAAGATAGGTAAACTTGGGTGGCGTGTGCAACAGAAATGAAACATCAAGCTCTGTCTCGCCTAACGTTTTAAAGAGGAGTCCTTTCTTGCGGAAATCCTGGCTATTGGGGCCGTTAGGATGGGGTTTAAGGGGCAGGCCTGTAGGCGTCACCCTATCCTGAAGTCATCAGCAGCATTTTTCCATCTCAGAAAATATGTTTCCCTCTACAGTTCTTGGAATAGGATTTTGACATATATGATCCAGAGGAAGCTTCACATTTCCTTGTTTGTGCTATTGTTTGGAGCTGTTGCTGATTCTAGTATTTTTCTTCAGAAACACTTTTGACCTCACTGAGCTTGATTTCCCCTGAGATTATTGGGAGCGGTTGAGGACTGTGTCATCTTTAACCCCTGTAATGACAGCTTCTACTCATTTTAGGCAAGATTTGCTGAGCCTTCTTGGTGTCAGGTTCACTGTTACATATTTTATGAAGCTTAATTTAAATCTCATAACAATAATGCTGGGAGGTAGAAGGAACTATTAACCCTGATTTACCAGAAACCATGCATGAGAAGAATTAAGAGACTTGCTCAAAGCCCCACAGCTAAGAAGTCAAGCTGTGAAGACAAGAGCGGGTCCTGATGGATCTGTCTGAGGGTTCCTCATCCCACAGAGCCTTCCTTCTTTTTCATTCTTTTGCAGTAATGTCCCTTCAGTGCCTGGCACTTAATAGACATTCAAGAAATTCTTAATGAGTTGCTGTTGTTGTTAAATGTTGTTGAGTTGTAGATGACTCATAGTGACCCTATGAATGAAAGACCCAAGCACTGTTCATAGAGTTTCTGGAGGCAAGCCATTTCAGAAATGGATGCCTCTCCTGCTTCCAAGCTTGTTTTAATCGGGAAGCTCCACCAAACACTGTCCACCATGGGCAACCATCATCACATGTGGCACATCAGTGTCACAGTGTTTAGCATCACAGCAACCATGAGTTACCTCTGTACAGCAATGCACAGACCAGTGCTATACCATGTAGAAGAATGTTTGACAAAAAACTAAACCATTTAATAAGTAGATGTTGTTGTTCAATGCCGTCGAGTTGTAGACGACTCATAGCGACCCTATGAACGAACAGCCTGAGCACTGTTCGTACATAGAGTTTCCAGAGGCAAGCCATTTTGGAAGTGGATGCCGCTCCTGCTTCCAGGCTTGATTTAGTCGGGAAGCTCCAGCCAACACTGTCCACCATGGGTGCCCATTACCACGATTGGCACATCACTGTCACAGGCTTCAGCATCACAGCAACCACGAGTTACCTCTGTACAGCAACGCACAGATAGGCAAATTAATAATATAAAGAAGGAGTGAATGAGCTAGTGCATCTTTCTCTTGCTTTGCTACCTACTAACAATGAAACACACACTTTGTGTCTTCTAGTCCCTCTCGGTTGACTGTGTCCATCTCTACTGGACTCATTTATACTTTAAGCAGAGAACTGAGAGGAGAAGGAAAGGGTACTAAAGGAATCAGATCTTAGAAGGAGGAAAGACTATGGGGCACCGTGTTCTCTGGAACACTTCTACACTTGTAGAGACTTTTCACAGACCCTCCCAGTCACAGAGAGTTGTACCTCTCTCTATGAGATGCAGGTAGTAAGGCTCAGAGAAGCTCAACCCATTGAACACAGTGATTAGTTCAAAATGAGCACGTGACCCAACCAGAACCAATAAGACTCAGTCCTGGGACTCTGATCTACTGGTAGTCATCTTGCCAGCCCAAGGGCAAGTCAGCCTGATTTTAAAGGGAGCCCCCTCAGGGGAAACGACGCTCAAGAGATGGGGATAGGGGGTGGGGAGAGACAAATCAAGTTCTGATGTCTTTGTTTTGAGTCCTGCATCCATTTATCCATTTGTGCCTGAACTACTCCTAGACATTTTCATTACATGAACCAACAAATGTCTCTATTGGTGTCTCTCTCTCTGAACCAGTTTGACCTTCAGACACTTATAACCACAAGTCTCCTACCCTGTGTCTCACTCTTCTCACTTACTGAATGGAAAGGATAAAAGGTTCTGTTTCATGGGATTTCTGGTGGGATTCCACACATTTGTGCACGTCAAGTCTCAGAATAATGCCTTAACAGCTATGTAGGGTCATGCAGGGTATGCATTCTCAAGACTTCCTAGGGCAAATTTAGCATAAGGACACCCAGACCCAGGAGAGGCCAAATCAGAACCTGCAGAGTGTTGGTAGTCCACACACCTCCCCTGGGTGTTTGATATTCATCCATCAAAGACCTGTTAGATGGGAACTCAACAACCAAGAGGGCCATTACCTGAGCTTTCCAACGTCTTTTCACATCCATGTAGACATCAGCCAGCTCGTCAATCTCTTTAACAGATGTCTCAGGAGTGGTGTGCAGGGGGACAATCACAAAGTCCTTGATGGCTGAGGAGCAAGAGAGAAAGGGAGGTCATACAGTCCCCAGTGCAGGTCAAAGGAAGCCAGCTCCACGCCCCAGGAACCCCAGCCTAGAGACACAGGCTGTGGGGAGAACTGGGTCTCCTCATTTCCAGAGGGTCCAGCCAGTGGCTGAGATTATAATGACTTTGAGTCATCAGGCTGTTTGGAACCCTCTCCCCTCCCGCTGGCCCTTTCATAACTACAGAGAAAGCTGTGAGACAGTGTTCTTGGCTGATATTGTGGGTGTACTTAATTCCTCATTTTCTGCAAATATGTCTTTCCTATTAAAAAAAGTGCCTAATTTTTTTAAATGTGGCTGTTTGTCTTTTAGATGAAGGAAAAATGCTTTTTTTCTCCTAATTAAAACAATGACAACTAGAACAAGGTTTATCAATGTATACTTCCTTTGTAATGGAATGGAGGGAGCATGCAATTATTTTAAAATACAGTGGTCTTTTTGGTGTGCTGAAAAACCTGTGCAGCAGGAAGGGGTGGAGGGCACCTGAGGGGGGGTAGGTCTGGTCTGCTCACCTTTGTCTCCTAGCACAGCTGCCTGGGGCTTTACCCCCATTTGTCACTGAACCTGCATTTCTACATTATGAGTTGGGGGCTGTTGCACAGTCACTGCTTCAGACACATAGCTGCTCAGAGAAGACAGAACTTGAACTTGGGCTGCCTGTGTCCTGAACCCCTACTCTGCTTCCTCATCCTCTTCCTAGCCCCACTGGGCCCTCTCTCTCACCCCATGATCAATGCTCCTTTTGCCTGTTTGCCCTACCCAAGGAAACCCCTGCTATCCCATGCAAACTATATGCTTCCTTCTGTTTTCTTTGCTTTTTTGGTTGACTCGCCTCTCTCAGGACAGGCTGGTCCTTCTCGCTCACACTCTTGGCCTCAGCCATTGGAGGTGTTGAAAATGTTCATGGGCTGAATGCACGCACGAATAAAGAAATGACTGAAAAGATAGCAACTCTGATGGTGAGGTTCACAGCATGTTGCTCTTCTAAACAAAACACTGTGGGTCTCTCTGGTGGTTCGAATCCACCAGCAGCTCCTTGAGAGAAAGACAGGCAGTCTCCTTCTGTTAAGATTTACAGCCTCAGAGTCAGGATGGAGGATGGTTATGAGTCAGAGTTGATTCAATGGCAGTGAGTTTCAATGTCAACTCCTTTGTGTTTGATTCCAGATCAAAAGGACATAGGAGATTTTCTTTAAAAAAAAAAGGACGTGGGAGGCTTTCTTGCCCAAGTTGGATCTGAGTGGTAGGGTCCCAGGTGAGGGAGAGACACAGCCTGGGGAGAAAAGGTGAAGTCTCTGGAAACCCCAGAGTATTTAACAATTCGCAAAGGTCCCCTTGAAAAAAGAGATGATCATTTAGGGAGGTGCGTGAGAACACAGCTCTAGTCACCCACATACGAATGGTGCGTGACAAAGACATCCTTGTCCCTGTTATGTGAAGAGCTTTTCTTGTCCTCGGCAGCACCCACCTCCTTGGTTAATCTCTGTTCTTCTGTGTTTGTTTTCCTGAATCACTACCTGTCTGTAAGCTAATTAACTCTTGCTTAAAAATAGCTAACTTGACAGCTTCAGGATGCCTTAAAATAATCGGTGTAAGTACTCACAGTTCTGTGTATATTAGCTGTCTGTCTCACTACACTATGACTTTATGAGGCCAGGGACCTGTCTGTCTTCGCTGGTTCCTGGATCAAGACCTGGCATGGAGCAGGTGCTGAATTAACATTCAGTTCTGTATAATTCAAATCCAAAATTGGAATTTAAGTATTATCTTTCTACCAGGTGCTGTGTAATGGTTAAGGGCATGGGTACTGGAGATGGTTTGTTGTTGTTGTTAGGTGTCGTTGAGTCAACTAGGACTATAGCGACCCTATGAGTAAAGATCTGAATCTTGCCTTGTCCTACACCATTCTCATAAATCCTGTCATGCTTGAGCCCATAGTAGTAGTTGTCGTTGTGTGCTGTTGAGTCAGAACTGACTCAGCTGATACTCCAGTGGGTTTTCAGAGGCAGTAAACTGCATGGGAGGAGATTGTCCATCCATCCCCCGCAGAGCAGCTGGTGGATTCAAACTGAGTGTCTCTGGGATTGCAGTGTAGCTTCTTACCACGAGACCACCAAAGCTTGGGTTAAAACCCAGGTGCACATACTTGAGTGGCTGGGCAACTCTGGACAAGTGACTTCATGTTCTAAAGCCTGTGTTTCCTTAACTGTAAAGTGGAAATAATGTAGTCCCCATCTTGTAGGATTATTGTAAGAATTACAGGAAGCCATGCCAATATGGTGGCTGACACTTAATCAGGAATCAATACTTGTTAGTGGCTAGGAGTCCTGGCAGTGCAGTGGTTAAGCTGCTAAAAAAAGTTGGTGTTCCGAACCCACTCAGTTATTCCATAAAAGAGGGCTGGGGACCACTTCCTGTAAAGATGATGACTTAGAAAAGCCACTGGCCAATTTTACTCTACTACCTGAGGTTACTCAGAGTCAAAACTTCACTTGATAGCACCCCACAACAAAAAAGGGGAGCACTGATGGCATAGTCCATAGGGACTAGAGCTGCTAGCCCAAAGGTGGCACCTCTCTGGAAGTCTGAATCCACCAACTGCCCCAAGGAAGAAAGATGAACACTGTACTCTTGCACTTTTTGCAGCCTGGGGAAACCTGCTGGAGGCTCAGCTATGAGCTGGTTCCAATTTGATGGCAAAGAACAGCAGCAAATGCTCCAAAGAAAACGGCGATGGCACCAGTTCTGGAGGTGGGCTTCTCACGAGAGAGGTCTTAAGACATGTCATTCTGAGTTAGAAGCCTGAACCATCAAACTAAACTGCATCCTCCACATGGAGTTATTAAAAGATGTACCAAGTCCCAAGCCAAATGTTTCCCTGAAGATGCTTCAAAAACCCCAGAATGACAGGGTGCACTTGGGGTTGCTGCCCGTTCAAGGGGATCCAGGAAGGTCCAGCACCTCTCATCTTGCACAAGAGGCTTGTGGGTCTCACCAGTGTGTGGTGACTGGAACCAGACCACAAAGGGTTCCCTGGAAAACACATCTTCATCCCCATGCTGATCGTCTTGGTAGAGATAGTTTTTCTTCACAGACACCAGCTTTTCCCTAGAAGAGAAAGACGTTCTTTTTTTTTTCTCATTTTCAAGAAGCAAAGATTCAAAAGCCTCTGAAGCAGGCTCAAGCCTTGGAAGGGATTTTGTTTTATGAGTAATTGATTTTCTTTTTTGTGTCTTAAGAATATATAAAACAGAGCTACACTAATAATTTCTGCATGTACAATTCAGTGATTATATTATTCACTGATTACATTATTCAAATTGTGCAACTGTTCTCACCTTCCTTTTCTGAATTGCTCCTCTCACATCAACATAAAATCACTACCCCCTCTGTTTTCTATTTATTCATTTGAGTTGCTGTTGTCAATTTGATACCATATGTAGTGTTTTAAAAAGAGCACAGTGCTCAAGGTAGACATTCACTGTTGTTATGTGCCATCGAGACATTCACTAAGTAAGGTAAATTATTATTTAAAGAAGTTTAAAGAAGATGCCAGGAGAATTTGTTTGTCTGTTTGTTTAAACTTTAAATAGTATCTAAGGGCAGAAGCTTCAGGTTCCAGCCTCAATAGATTCAATAAGTCTGGATTCCAGGAGAGTCTGAACATTTCCTGAAAGAGATCTTTAGACAGAAAGCAAACCTAGGTCAACTTTTCTCAATAATAACAATAACTACCAGATCCCTTGGAAAGCTGAAGACCTGATCTGAACTTCTTTCCCAGGGGACCTACAGTCAATTTTCAGGCTTAAAACAAAACACTAGCACAAAGGAAACAAGAATTTAAAATTCAAGAATCAATCATACCGGGTAGCTCATGTCTCATATCTCCAGACCTGGACTAAAACTGGATTACAAAAAAAAAAATAAAGACCCACTGATTCAGGTAGCCCCTGGTTCAACCACAAAAACAAATTGTCAAGAAGTTATTTGTGTTCCCTAGTTTGAAGAGTTAGTATTTTACATCAGTGGCAATTGTGACAGCAATTATTTTGATGAATATTAAGAACTAGTTAGAGATCAAAATCAAATTTTGAGGAAAAGAGAAACATATTGATTCAAGTAACAGACTTGACGTCTAAGTGGACCTTATTGCAGGTGGCACAGATTACTTACTTATAGAGAAAGGCGTACTGTTCTTTATATGTGTTTCTTCCCAGTCGAGAGCTAATCACATAGCGGTATGTTGTGCCTCTCCTTAGATTTCTAGAAAACACGAAGATTTCTCATTACACATTTAAAAAGAAACATTCTCTGGCAGATGGTGGCACTTCCTTGCCCCTCCTTCCCTCCAGCAAACAGACACGCCCTCTGTCATCCCTACTACCCCCCCCCCCCGCCAGCTACCTGGAGACAAGTGGTGAGCACCCCAGTGCTGCCAAACTAGCAAGTGGAGTAGCACACCTGCCTTACCTACCCAGTATATATACTCAAACAAGCAAACTACAATCAGGATGAAGCAAGCCAACACCCAGTCAAGAAATAAATACAGTAACATCACAACATTTCAGAAACCACAGACAACTTCAAATCACAGAAAGAAACAGGACAAAATGGCTTAGCAAGTGACCAAACTATAGTTCAGGAAACCTTGCTGAGGAAAGAACTAAAAAAAGAGGACAGGACCATAATAAATATATAGAGAACACTACATTCACTAACAGTACAATACACATTCTTTTCCAACCCACATAGGTCATTCTCTGGAACAGACCACGTGTTAGGCTGTTAATAAATTTAAAGGCAATGAAATAGTATAAAGTATTTCTTACTTCACAAATGCCATGAGACTAGAAGTCAGTAACAAGAACAGGGGAAAACTGAGTAATGTGCAGTTTAAAACTCCAGGATAATAGAAGATATTTTAAAATTATTTTAATCAAATAGATATAAAAAGAAAATAAAGCAAATAATTTGGGATGCAGCAAAAGCAGTATCCAGAGGGTAATTTATAGCAATACGCACACATCAAAAAAAGAGGAAAGAATTAAAAATCGACATCTTCACCTAGCCATTTAAACAATTAGAAAAAAAAGATCAACATAAAAAGCATATTAGAAGAAAGGAATTAATAAAGATTAGATTAGAGCAGAAAGAAATTAAACAGAAAACAAACCAGAAGAATCAATGAGAATAGAAGTCTGTTCATCGAGACAATTAGTAAAATGAACAAACCACTAGAAAATGTAACAAAATTTTTAAAAAGATACAAATAACATGAACAAGAAAGTAGAGAGACTGTGTCACAACAGAACAAGCTGAAATAAAAGGAATAATAGCAAAGTACTATGAAGGAGTATACTTCAGTAAATTTGAAAATCTGAACTAAAGGATGAATTTCTAGAAACTTATCACCTATATAAACAAATGACAACTGAGGTGGCAAATGTAAACAGATCCATGAAAAAAAGAAGAAATTTAACAGATCAGAAAAACCAAACAAAAACTCCCCCCTAAAAGCCGAAAAAGTCCTCCCTCAGATGGCTTTACTGGAGAATTTGACCAAACATTCAGGGAAAAGCTGACACTAACACTACTCAAGGTATTAGATGGAATATTCCCAAACTCACACTATGAAGCAACCAAATTCTGGTACCAAAGCTATGAAAAGACTCATGCCGTTGAGTCAGAACTGAGTCATAGCTGATCACGGGTTTCTGAGGATGTAAATTGTATGGGAAGAGATTTGCCATCTTTCTCCCATGGAGCAGCTGGTGGATTTGAACTTCCTGACTTTGTGTTGGCAGTGCAACTCCTTACCACTAAGCCATCAGATTCCTTGAGCACAACTCCCTGTAGGCTATGCCAGCAGAGTGCCCTTGAGTTGCCAAGGCCATAATAAATTGCATAAATAGATTACCAGACATAACTAAAAATGCACAAACAGCAGGAGATAAACTAGATAAAAATGAGACCTAAGAATTAAATCCACTACTTGTCTTCTGCTGTGATTCTGGAAGTTATGCCACAGCATTTGGAATACTTTCAACTCAGCATCATCTTTGGTGGACAGGTTTCTGTAAAGCTTTCAGAGTAAGAACAACTTAGGAAACAAACCTGGGCATTCACTTCTGAAATAATGGCCCTTGAAGCCCCATGAATAGCAGCAGAACATCGATACAGAGCTCTCCAGTCCAAGAGGAAGTCTTCAGAGTGGAAGATCTTCAAAAGACTACTGAAGAGACTACTAGAGTCTAACTTAATGATGTGGATGGTGGAATGATGGAAATTCCATGACAATTGGAAAATTTCCTAAAAGGAATCTTTAGCCCAAGAGCAAAGCTGAGTCAATTTTTCTCATTATTGACCAGAGTTCTATGAGCTGAAGGCTGGATCTGAACTCCTGTTCAGGGGCGTCCACAAATGAACATTCAGACGTAACACAAACCACTAGCAGGAAGAAGACAAGAAAGTGAGATTCAGTTGTCAGTCATCCTAGGCAACTTGAGGCTCCAGTCCTGGACTGGAACTCGACTATGGAAAATGAAGAACTTCTGATTTAAACCACTCTTGATCCAGTCAAAAAGTAAGTTGTCAAGGAACAGTTCGTGTTTAGGCTGAGCGCTCAAGTACAACTCTTTCGTTGTCATTGAATTAGAATCAAATCATAGCTCACCCTCCAGCGGCTTTCTGAGGGTGTGGGGGTGGGGGTGGAGATTGTCCCTATTTCTCCCAGCTACTGTCGAATTCAAACCATGAGAGAGGTTAGTAGTGCAACTCCCTACAACTAGCCACCAGAGCTACTATACACAAACATTTGTTGTTGCTGTTATGCACCATGGAGTCAGAACTGACTCATAGCTGACCCTCCAGCAGGTTTTCAGAGGCAGTAAACCATGAAGGAGAAGATTGTCCATCTTTGTTCCTGTGGAGCAGCTGATGGATTTGAACTGTGTTCATTTGGGTTGACAGTGTAACTACATACCACTATGCCACCGGAGCTCCTGTATACAAACACTAGCACAGCCTTGTTCATATCTGGTGTGAAGTGGTCACTAAAATAGGACCTACTTGAGCTTTGCTTCTAAACTTGTTTTTTTCAGTATATGGTGACCATTATTCTATGTTAGAACATTGTTGTTAGATACAGTCGAGTCGACAAAGACTCACAGACACTCTGAACAGCAGACAGAAACTTTGCTCTATCGTGTTCCATCGTCACAACCTCCACCATGCTCAAGCCCATTGCTGCGGTCACTGGGTCAATCCACCTTATTTACGGTCATCTTCTCTTTCACCAACACTCAACTTTTCCCAATATGATATCTTTTTCCAGGTGCCTCCAGATAACATGTTATAGTGCCAACTTATTTTGTAGTAAGCATGAATTTTTTTATTGTATTAATATGCACACAAGCAAAACATTTGCTATTTCAACTGAGTATGATTTTTAACAACTGTATAATATTCCAAAATGACTTACTCTTATTGCCCTTTTTCTCTACTGTTCACCTTCAATCTTTAGGATAGACTCTGCTCTGTGGCTTTCATTACTTTCGTTTTTAATCCTCACTTATTTCCCCTATTTTGCTTTATTACATTAAAACGAAAAGGTTGAGCTTTCTTTTCTTTTTTTTTTGAGCTTTCTTAAGCCCATAGTTAGTAGTATTAGATGCCTGGGCAGCTACGGTCTAACACTATAGCTAATGGTGTCAGATGCCATGTGACCTGGTGGTCAGAGTATGGAGTGGCTCCCACACTAGTTTCAGTTCCCGGGGCTTTTGAGGTGAAGTGCTCTTGACTCTCATCTTGCAACTATTGGAGGGCCTGAACATCTGCTCCCCTCCCTCCCCACCGCTTTCCAATTCCTCTCTTTACCCATTCAGCTTCTCCATCAGCATGGGACAGATCATGTTGTTATTGTCTTTGATTTCCATCAGGAGCATGATGTCACATCGCTTGATGATCTGCAGAGAGAGAGTTCCCAGGTAATTGAGGCCACTTATTAATAAAGTTGTTGTTGTTTACCATCAAGTCAGAACTGCCCTGTAGCTGGCCCTCTGGTGGGTTTTCAGAGGCAGTTAATCACATGGGAGGAGATTGCCCATTCTCCCGCAGGGTGGCCGGTGGCCTTGAACCACATGCCTTTGGGATTGCAGAGCAGCTTCTTACCACTAGGCCACAAGAGTTCCCTATTTATTAATAATAGCAGGATCTTTTATTGGCCCTTTAGTACATTTTAGCTATCACATTACTTTATTAAATGAAACATTTCTTCTGTGGAAGAATTGAAAGATTCCCTGAGGTAATTGCTATGTTATGTCCATTTTAAACATGAAGAGCCTGAAGCTCAAGGAAAGATACATAAATGACCCAAAGCCACGCAGCTAGAAAGTGATCAAGGTGGAATTTCAAACTCTGCAACCCAAGACCATGGTCAAAACCCCTCAAATCTTAGCTTTGGTTGAAGAATTACAAGGACAAGAGTAAACCTAAACATCTATTAAAAATTTAGTAAGTGAAAGGCCCCACACTGGATACTATATGCATAAAATGATATAATACTAGGAATGATTATAATCATTTATTAAGAACTAATAAATATACATTCTACCAAAGAAAGTATACAAATGAGCAACAAGCACATGGAAAGATGTTCAAAATCACTGTTGTTATTGTCGTTAGGCATAATCGAGTAGAGTACCACTCATAGCAGCCCTATGAACAACGGATGAGCCCTGCCCTACTCTGAGCCATCTTCACAATTTCTGACACTCTCCAGCTCATCGCTGCAGTCACTGTGTCAATCAACATCGTTGTTGTTGTTGTTAAATGCCATCGAGTTGCCTGTGACTCATAGCAACCCTATGTACAACAGCCCTAAACTCAGCTCTGTCCTGTGCCAATCGCACTGTCTCTGACACACCCATCCGGATTACCCCAGTCACTGAACCAATCCACCTCATAGAGGGCCTTCCCCTCCTGTGCTGTCCCTCCACCCTACCAAGCATGAAGTCCCTCTCCATGCTTACAACATGTCCAAAGTATGTTAGACAGAGCCTCAGAATCCTTGCCTCCAGGGAGCTGCCTGGTTTAACCCTTTCAGGATGAATCTGTTTGTTTTCATAGCAGTCCATTGTACCCTCAATACTCTTCTCCAGCACCACACCTCAAAGGCATCAATTCTCCTTCTATCCTCCTTAGTCACTGTCCAACTCTCTGATGCATAACAAGTGATAGCAAAGACCATGGCCTGTATCAGATGCACCTTAGTCTCCAGAGAGACACCATTGCTCTTCAGTACTTTGGAGAGGTCCCTAACAGCAGACTTTCCCATCACAATACGTCTTTTAATTTCCTGACTATTAGGAAAGTGTAAAAAAACCACAGTGGGGTCCCACTTCATACCCATTAAGATGGCTATTATAAAAAAGTGAAAACAAGTATTAGAGAGGATATGGAGAAATTGGAGCCTTCATCCAGTGGTGGTGGGATTGCAACATGGTGGAGCCGCTGTGAGAAACACTTCAGCAGCTCCTCAAAAGGTTAAAAGGAGCTCTGGTGCCTTAGAGGTAAGAAGTTGCACTGCCAACCCAAAGATATGTGATTCAAATCTACCCGCTACTCCACTAAAGAAAGATGAACAATCTTCTCCCATGTGATTTACTTGCTCTGAAAACCTATTGGAGGGTCATCTACGAGGCAGTTCCTACTCAATGGTCCACAACAGTAACAAAAGTTTAAACACGAGATTATCACACCACCAGCAATTCCGCTGCTAGAGACTTTGAAAGCAAGGACTCAGATTGACTTTTGTACATCAATGCTCATAACAGCATTATTCACAGTAGGCAGAAGGTAGAACTAATTCAAATGACAATCACCAGATGAGTGGATAAATAAAATGTCACACATCTACATCATGGACAACCAAAACCAAACCTACTGTTATTGAAGTTGGCTCAGACTCAGTGACCCGGAAGGACTGAGTAGAAATGCCACACAGGGTTTCCAAGACTCAATCTCATGTGAGCAGACTAACATAAACACTGAGTACAATTATGAAAGGTTAACATTTGAAGATGACAGGCCCCAAAACCACACCTTTTTCCTTTAATTCTGCATAGTTTTCATTTTCTTATGAAACTAAAGCTCCTTTAAGCCTCTCTTAGAGCCCCTCTGTTTCCTTTTCCTGTTTGTCTCTGGAACTCATGGCCAGGGGTTAACTTTCCTTCAGTGCTTAAGTAATACTAGTGATAATAGTCTTAGTTCATTTTCTCGAAGCAAGACAAACTTTTTACAACATACAGCATGGTACCAGTTGCACCGACCAGCTGGCTCCAGGCAGGTGAGGCTACTGTGAAAGTTCTACAAATTTTGTTGTCAGCGTTTTTTCTTTAAATAATCAATGTCCACACTTTAACTACCATGATGGTCTCTGGACAGGGAAGCAGATTTTGGGGAATCATGCTCCCTGCCTTTTATAAACCAGTCTTCTGGAAATTCTTCTGTATAGGATCACATCATCTGCAAATGCAGTTTTACTTCTTCTTTGCCAATTTTGATGCCTTTTGTGCGGATGATGCTCCATTAAACACACACACACACACACACACACACACACACACACACACACACATCTGTCAAAGACCAAAGGCCAACAATGACTCTAGGGCAGAGATGAAAAGATAAGGGGCAGAAGAATGAGAGGGAGTAAAATCTTGAGGGCATACAGTTATGTAGGCAGAGTAAGGAATTGAAGAAATTAGGAAAGATCCAGTGGGGACCTGAGAAGTTGGGGTAATGATGGGCATGGATCAGTGGTGATTAATTTTGGAGAATACAATGTATGGATGGGAATGATACTATGAAACACAATGTGAAGAGAGGGATGCATGAAACAATATGTGTAAATGAAACATAATGTATATGGATTTTGTATACAAACCAAAATAAAAGAAAAAGAATTATTTTTTTTATTTAAAAATATAAAAATACAGGGAAACTAGAATCTTCGGAACAGAACAAGCTAAATGCAATTAAAGAGAATGCTGAAGCATTGTGGGGAAATGTAATGAATAGCACTAAATAATTTATGTAGAAATTATCAATTGAAGGGGGAGGGTGGAAATAGAGGGGAGAGGATGGGGGTTAGAGGGTAAATCATGGTTACACAATTCGATGGGTGGTGGGGTGAAGGAAATGGGAAGCATCTTTGGTGAAAAATAATGTATTCAAACTTTGTAAATAAATCAGTATAAAATTTTAAAAAATTGTCAAATGAGAACTTAACTCACTGAAAAATTCATGTCATTCCTTCTTGACCACCACGTTCAACAGTCATGAATATCAGCCCATCATTGTGGCCGGTCCTCCTCAATGACAAAGGTCTCTTTTTAAAGTGAGATTGATCAGTGCAGGGCTATTATAGCCATTGTTGTTATGTGCCATTGAGTCACACGTGACTGATAGCAACCCTATGTACAACAGCCCTAAACACTGCTCTATCCTGTGCCAATCTTATTGTCTCTGATACACCCACTCCCATTACCCCAGTCACTGAGTTAATCTTTCTCATCCAGGGTCTTCCTCTCTTGTGCTGTCCCTCCCCTCTTCCAAGTATGATGTCCTTCTCCAAGGACTGGTCCCTCCTTGCAGCCTGGTTTTAACCTCTCCGGGATGAACTTTTTTGTTCTCCTGGCTGTCCATGGTAAATTCAATACTCTCCTCCAGCACCACAGCTTTAAGGCATCAATTCTCTTTCTATCATCCCTAGTCATTGTCCAGCTTCCTTACATAAAGCAACTAATTGCAAAGGCTATGGCTTGGAATGCAGGACTATAGGAACCATTCATCTAGATGCCCTTTCCTAGTGGAGAGGTTGAGGTCCCATGCTTCCTGTTTATGATTCAACAATTCCTTTTTTTGCATAGCAAACATTTCTGAATTGCTGATTGCCACTTTCCTTGGGAAGTGTGGGAGCATTTCCTGTTGACTAGAATAAACACTGTAGTAAGCAGTGACTCAAGATCCCACAGCAGAAGTCTCCTGGGAACGGGACCTCTAACTGCAGCTGATTAGCTTCCATCCATCCATTCACCCAGCCAGTCAGTCAGCCACTGGCTGATCCACCCAATAGATTTCTATCAAGAGGCTGCTCTGTTCTATACAACAGTCTTTACCAAAGAAAACCAAATCCATTGTCATTGAGTTGGTGACAACCCCTAGTGACCTTCCATCAGTGTCCAATCATTGGAGAGGAGACTGCCCATCTTTCTTCCACCAGAGACTTACGGATTCAAACTGCTCATCTCTAAGTTATGTGTTATGTCTCCAGAACTTCTTTACAATATCCTAAGCCTTGTTTTTGTCGCAACTTTATCCTCAATAGCATCGGATGTAAGTGAAAATAGGTGAGGAAGTCCCTAACATACAAATGCTTTTCACATTTAAAGCTTCCTTTTAACACCTTCAGCAAAATAGAAACAAATATCCTCATCAATCCTTATGCAAAAACATTTACTATCACCTTCAAAAACTATGCTGCTTGTTGTAGAAGAATTGGAAGATGCTGAAAAGACAGGGAAGGCTATTAAAGTTCGCTGACCTGTGAATCCACGACTCTGTCACCTTCCCAGAAATGTGTTTTGCTTATGTGTATGAAATTTGCACTGTAGTTTGAGTTTTGAATTAGATGGTTTTGTATTCATGTCAACTTCATCAGTTGTGTGACCTTTAGCAAGTGACCTAAGAACCCCCTTTTCTCCAGCTTCCCCATCTGCAACAAGTCCCAGACATGGGGTCAACTTGGACATTAAGGGACATTACAGAAAGTGCCCTGCCCAGTGCCCACCACAGACAAGGTGCTGATTTAGCAGTGACAATGTTTATCATCCAGTTTAGGACTTGCCTTTTTAAAAAACAAAATAAAACAAAACACTTCACATTATACTGTGAGCCTCTTCTGTTAGTAACTATTCCCTCTCTAGTCTTTAAATCATTCTAGCTTGTGCTTTCTCTGATGTAATTTTAAGCCAGAGGATCAGGAAAAAAATCTATTTCCTGTAGCTCCATTCTAGCACAGCCACAGAAGAACTGAATACAGGACTTCCACAGAACCTGAATTACATAGATTTCCCAACCAAGTCCAACTTCTGACTACTTATGTAATCAACATGGGCAAGTAATTGACCATAAGTGACCAATGTTGGGGGAATCTTTTTTTAAGAAGTTTCATAAAAATGGTCCTGGGCAAACAGAAGGGATGGTCTTTTGAAATAACTCCATGGCAGAGGACAGCTCCTGAACCCTATTTCTGCCTCCAATACATGAGTAGACCTGGCTCCAGCCCTCACTTCCTTGCTCCATGACCAACTTACCCCACCTCTCTGAGCTCCAGTTGCTTTATCTGCAAAATGAGCCTGGTAATCAGAGGGACTGTAAAGCTGCACTGTAAGTGCCCAGCACATGGCAAGCACTCCTGGACCTAGAATAATCATATCTAATAGGCTCCATGAAGATGGAAACAATATGTTCCACGTCCATCATGTCATCCCTGATGCCTAGAACTGTATCACTCTCAAAGTGGACCTTCGTGAGTGCTTGTTAGATGAACAAGTTCTGCTCTTTAAAGGACAAACTGAAGACTAGACAGAAGGAGACTCACCCAAGTAGGGTTTGGCATCTAAAGAACTGGCCCTACCTGGTCAACCAACATGGAGGTGGTAAGTCTCCTTGACTCTCCACCTACTCCAATGAAGGTAACCTAATAATAACAACAGGGTGTGCTGAACTCTCCCATGAAGTGACAGTCCAGCGTGCAAGAGGGGAAGGTCATGTTCGTGCCTGTGGTTACATGGTTGGGTTTGGTTTCACTTTTCTCCTTAGGACCTATTATGAGGAGGAATGTGGAATCAGGATTGGAGGAGGACTCATCAACAACCTGCATTAGGCGGATGACGCAACCTTGCTTGCTGAAATTAAAGAGAACCTAAACTACTCGCTGCAGAAGGGCAAAAACTGTAGTCTTCAGTATGAATTGAAGTTCAATGTCAAGAAGATAAAGGTTCTCACCACTGGGCCAATTGGCAGCACCATGGTCAGCGGAAAAGAGATTGAAGTTGTTAGCAATTACAACTTGCTTGGCTCCACAATCAATTCTCTTCATACCAGCAGTCAGGAAATCAAAAGACAAATTGTGTTGGGGAAATCTGCTGTCCAGAGTGTTCAAAAACAATGATGGCCGTCTAGAGACTAAGGTGCACTTGACCCAGGTCATCATCTTTGCAATTACTTGCTATGCATCAGAGAGCTGGACAGTTATTAAGGATGACAGAAGAAGAATAGACACCTTGGAGTAGTGGTGATGGAGAAGAGTCTTGAACATATCATGGACCGCCAAGAAGACAAATAGGTCTATCTTGGAGAAGGTGAAACCAAGTTTCTCCTTGGAGGCTAGGATTTTGAAGCTCTGTCTCACTTATTTTGGGCACGTGGCCAGAAGGGATCAATCCTTTGAGAAGGACATCATACTTAGAAGGTGGAGGGGCAGCTCAGAGAGGAAGACACTGAATGAGATGGATTGCTACAGTAACTGGGGCAATAGGGGTATGTGTGTCAGAGTCAGTGTGACTGGCTCAGGACTGGGTGGGCTTCAGAGCTGCTGTACAGAGGGCCACTATGAGTCACAGGTGACTCAACAACACATAACAACAACATCGAAACCTGGACAGGTTATTCTTTCTCTCTGAGCTTCTGTTTCCTCCTTTAGAAAGTGTGAGCAATGCCATCTGTGTGGTGGTCAATGCCATCTGTGTGGTGGTGGTCAGTGAGCTGCTAGTTGCTGTTGAGTTACTGACTCGATTCTACCTTCCCATGTGTGTCACTCTATAGGACTCCCAGTCTTCAGGCTTTCTTCTGAGTGTCTCTGGGTGAACTCAAATCTCTAATTAAAATCTACCTTTTGTATAACTACTGAGCACATTAACCATTTGCACCAGCCAGTATTAAATAAAGATGTGAAAGACTTGACTAACACTAGATACTCATTCAATGGACCACGTAAATATCACTATTCTGAATTTGTAGGGTTTGAGTTTAGCTGTTTGGTGGCTCTAGGAGTGTTTGGGCCTGGCCTCTGTCTGCAGGTGGTTTTATAGCCTAGCCAAAACCTTCAGACACGTTTGGTATTAGGTGTGACTGGCTGTTGTCCATTGGCCAACTCCCAGAGGCATAGAAGCCCTGGACCGATGCCAAGTGTGGGCTCCCTGCGGAGGAACTGCCAACGAACAGAGAGAGGGCTCTCAAGTCTGTGGTGCCCTCTCCCTCCCAAGCTGAGCAAGTGCGGGACGTGATGAGAACCCGGTGGGATGCCCAGGCTCCCTGCAGCCATGTGTGAGGAAGGCAGGCAAAGAATTGCTTTGCCAGAGTTCCCTGCTGAGCCACAGGCTTAGCACGGCTGTCACAGCCAAACAACCACACCTAGAAGGCCCTGGGCTCCATCCAAGGCAGGGCCCACCAGTGAGAGTGAATCATCTAAGTAAGGAGAATGCACAGCAGCTCTGTTGCTAATCTGCTTTGTCTCATAGTAACAGTGACCCTCATGTGTCAACACCTGCCTTGTTGAGCTCTTCTGGGGCCTTCAACCTCACATGTGCTCCCAGCTAACAGATGCTACAGGCTGTGAGAGCCCGTTCCACTAAAAGGGATTGGAGGCTCAGAGGGGAGAGGTAACTTCCCCAATTCATGCAGCTGGCAAGAGGGATGTGAACCTCGGGCTGCCGTTAAATTGCTTAGGGTCATGGTTGTAAAACAGGACTGACATCGGGGTTGAGGGAAGACAGAAAAGGGGGGAAGGAATGATGTATACTGCATTGAAACAGATGAGGGAGAGAACTGTTTAAATGAGATATATGTTTGGGTATTATTGTCATTACTACAGAAGTCCAGAATGAAGGCTGCACAGTGGAGTGGACTTGGGGAGAGGGATTACATAACAATGAGAGTTTTTCTTTCTTTTCAAGAAAAGTGAAGGGGGGTTGGACAGGGAGAAAAGTGCAACAGTGAATGACTGGAAACCCTAAGTCTCTGTAAACTTTCATTAAAATTAATTAAACAAAAAACAACCCCAGGTTCTTTCACCATCCCCCCTGCTGCTTTCTGAGGTGATAACCACCCTATCAAAGTCCTGGGAAGGTTTTCAGTGCCCAGTTAAAAACCGAGGGAGCCTGTCAAGTGATCCCAGAGTGAGCAGACTCCTGATGGTTATGCCCAAGGACAACATTAGTGAGATGGAGAGAGGTTAGACTCTAGAGTTAAAAAGAGGGAAAAGCGATAGAGATCGAACTAGAAAGGAAGGAGGAGCAGGAGGAAAGGAAGAAGGAAGGAAGACAAAGAGTGGGTGAGAGGCATCGATGGTTAAAGCCAAGGCCAGGCTGGGCTGCCATACCTGTTCCACCAGCCACCAGCTTTATATTGTTACCTAATATCTCATTGTTCATCATCCTTTACATGAGATGATGATTCTCCAGGAGAGAGTGATAACTTGAAACCATGTCATTTAAAGTGCCTGATGCACGCATTTATTAACGTAGGAAGAACTATACTACTACTACTACTACTACTACTACTACTACTACTACCACCACCACCACCACCACCACCACCACCACCACCACCACCACCCAACCCTTAGTGAAGAAGAATTGATGCCTTTGAATCATGGTGTTGCTGAAGGGTAGTGAGAATACAGTGGGGCTGACAGAAGAGAGAACAACCATGCCTCTGAGTAAGTACAGCCAGAATGCTCCTTAGAGGGCACTGAGGATGTGATACTTTGTCTTACATTCTTTGAAGGTACCAGGTATCAGGAGGGACCAGTCTTGGTAAAGTGAGAATTAAGAAGAGAATAGAAAAGGTGGATCCACACAGTAGGTCTAACAATGTGTTCAAACATAGCAATGAACGTGCAGATGGCTTTGGACTGTGCAGTGCCTCACCCTCTTATACAGAGGGTCCATACGGCTCAGAATCCACTTAACAATAACAATCCGGGACTTACTATGAGCCAGATGCTCTTTAAAGTGCTTTTCATTTACCAACTGTTGTATTCCTCACAAAGAAGTCCTAGAAGCACAGTAGTTAAAGCACTAGGCATCCAACTAGAAGGTCAGCTGTTCAAGTCTACCACTTGCTCCTTGGAAGAAAGATGCTGTGCCCTGTTCCCATAAAGGATGGAAACCCCATGGGGTATTCTTTGGGCTTGCTATGAGCTGGAATCCACCTGATAGCAGTGGGTGGGATAGGTACTCTAATCGCTCTCTCGTGGAGGTGACACTTATCACTAATTTACAGAGAGGGAGGCACCCAGAGGTGAAGGAGATATTGTTGTCATTGCTGCAATTATTATTGCTACAACATTGCGAGCCTTTCCCTCTAAGAGCTGACTTGAACTAGATGCCTTTTGAGTGTCCTAGAATCTGAAAGCAGTAAAGTGGGCATAAGGGAGTGTCCTGCCATCATTCAGCTGGGAGAGGGGGGCTCACCTTCACGATGATGTCCATGATGTTCTGGTTATCCTTCTTGCTTTCCCCAAAGGACCTCACATTGAAAGAGCAGATCTTCAGGGCCAGGGCGCCCTGGATGGAGAGGAGGAGAAGCAGCCGGGGCAGCAGCCAGGACATCCCTGCGTCTCGGGTTCAGGACTGCGTGAGGAGACAGCAGCAGCAGCAGGTGAGCCAGGATCTTGGCCACCGTCTCGGCTCCCCTGATTTATAAAGCCTGCAGATAACAGGAATTACTGGATTCCTGACTGCTGCTTTCACTTCTCTGAGGAACTGAAGAGCTCCAGTTTCATTCCCCAAGGAAATGGGCTAGCCTTTGAGAAGCCCCTGTTTGGATTACTGTGATGAGGAAATTGCCTTGCTTAACTTTAAGCACCTCCTCCCGTGCTAAGACCGTTTGCTATGTCCCTTGCCTCCCATCACTGCTACAGTATCTGACAGACTCTCCTGTTGTTGATTGTTTTTTGTGGGGCTTTTCTAATAGTTGATGAACTTGAACTCAGGTGGTCTGAGCTGCCTTCTGAAAGGACTACACCTGATGCTAGTGGTCAGTGAGACAGGGGTCATTGGAGTCCAATACATTTGAATCTAGGAAATTTTGCTGGCTCTTCTGTTAACACTGAACTGTGGAGACCAGCTGTCCCTGGACACACCCAGGCACCAACTCTCTAACAAGTCTGTTTTGAATTACAGACTTTCTAAGGTCGTTTTAGTGCACATGAGTTAATACTAGCAGTGTGTGGCCAGGCAAAGCGTCACTGATTAACTAGAAGAGGGCAGCAGAATACCTTTGGGCCCTGAGGATCACCAAAGCGTTTATGGGCCATCCTAATAGTGTCTTACTGTTTCTGACAGCTGTGTGGCCCTGAGAAAGGACGTGTTTGCATAAGTTACAGGATTTCAGCCCAGGTGGCCTTTCGAGCTTTGGACAGGGAGATGTGAAGATCTAAAATGCAAATAAATTGTAAAGTGCAATCAAGTTGTAAATCCAGGAGAGATTCGCAGGCATCTGCCACAGAAACTCTTCGGTGGAAAGCTTGGGCAGTGAGAATAACTTGAAACTGGTGCTTGGATCCACGTTACCACCTCTTTTTGGAGTGACGGTGTTGTTGACCAAGTTACTGCAAATATGGAAAAGTACATATTCCCATAGATTCAGTCAGTATCCTAACCTTCTGGTCCACCAAGCTCAGGATTTTAAAGAGATTGCATCGAATGTGACACAAAAGGACAGAATAGTTCCTGAGTTTCTGGTGAGATCAATTACCCAGCCTGTCTATAAACTGATTTCCATGTATGCCTGGTTTAACTACTAGGAATAGGTAGATTGGATGAAGTAGGCGATATTATCTTGCTCCATAAATGAGCATCTTCTAATTATATATTGTGTTGTTGTTATAAGTTGGAATTGATTCGTAGCTGACCCACCAGTGGATTTTCAGACTGTAAGTTGTATGAGAGAAGATTGCCCATCTTTCTATCTCAGAGCAGCTGGTGGATTTGAACCAAGTGCCTTTGGGTTAGCAGCCCAACTTCTTACCGTCAGAGTTCCCTAGGAATATTTATAATCAGGCATAGAAATGTTAAGGAGGCTTCAAACCATAGTGCAAATTTTTTGCATGTTACAGACCTTTTTTAAAAAATTTTTTAAAATAATTTTAATGAACGTTTACAGAGAATTTGGATTTCCATTCATTCATTGCAGCACTTCTCTAGCCACCCAGCCCT